CTGGAATATTGTCATCTCCGCTAGCTTTGTTGTTAGTAATGCTTCCTAAGGCCCACTTGACTTCGCTCTCTAGGATGTCCAGCTCAAGGTCATTGACCACACTAGCGTGGACACCAGGAACATTATGAAGCCCAAATGGTTTGCCAATACCTTGAGATATTTTGTTCTTGGCGACCATTTCTTTTTCATTGGATTATACATTGGGTATTTTTATAATTATTCATACTCTTGTTTTCATCTTGAACTCTGCTCCTAACCCAAAGTCACTTTGGTGAGAGGGGCAGCCAGATAAATCAAAAGAAATGAATAAATAAGCAACTAAGCAAAATCAAGGAGGAAGAGGAGGAGGACCCCCACATCTAAATTACATAAAAATATATAGACAAAAGATCATTTGAAGATGAAAAAATACAAACTACTGTATATCAGGCTATCAAATATTGCACAAGGAATTAAATCTAGATCCTATAAAATCCCATTGGATATAGACTTCTAAGTTGAAATGATTTTTGTTTTTTGCTTTTTGTTTTTTGGGCGGGGGTTGGGGTTTTTTGGGGGTGGTTGTTAGTTTTTTTCCTCTTCAGCCCAATATGCATTCATTCCATCTTTCGGCTTCTAACATCAACTTACGGAATGACTACATAAGCAATTTACAAGTCAGATAAGAAGGAGAGTCTCACACACACACACACACACACACTCCCTGCCAACTTTCTCTCCAGCTTTTAATCCTCAGAGATAAACTCCAGCCATGGACACCTCCAAAATCTGAGATCAGTATCTAATTGGGAGGCATATAATCAGCCTGTGTACTAGATAGAGATATGGCAGTCTGCTTCTCAAAGAAGAGTCCTCATACCCCAGATCCACATATTTTCAAGATCCAGTAGATTCAGAGCTCTCAAAGGGTTCCGCTATATTTAGGCTCTTCTTTCTTTCATAACACAAATGATTCAGTCATTCCTCTTTCTGTCATTAAAGATACCATCGTGTACTGGCAGCAAACAGTGAGGAGGAAGATTGGATCGGAGTTCCAGCTACCCTCGTTACAGTCAATGGACCACCAGCAAGAAAATTGGAAGTCTACCACTACCTGTCCCATTTCCCTGTTTTGTTTTCACCTGCCTATACCAAGGGAAAATTAATTAAGAAAATATCCACAATGCCATGGTTGGGGGTGGTGCCACTTCAGACAAGTTTAGGAAGGTCTTAGCAACCTTTCAAGGCCAATTTTTCCTGGAACACAAACCAAGAGAAGCTAGTCCTAGCACACGAGGCTACAACTTGGGGTTATGCATTTGATTACTGAGGATCAGATCTAGCAGTCTTTGGGACTTCAGGTGAAAGAATTAAATACAGACCCCAGGAACAACATCAGAGCTCTCTGTCCAGAAGACTGCAATATATATATATATATATAGAGAGAGAGAGAGAGAGAGAGAGTATATGTGTGTGTGTATGTATGTGTGTGTGTGTGCTTGTGTATACACACACACATGTACATATAGTCTTCATTGTGGCTTCATTGATCTTCACTGATTCCCCCCTCCCTCAAAATAAATACATTCATTTATACAATTTATAAACTGCTTCACAGGGCTGTCATAAATGCTTTATGTGTCTTTTAAGTTGAATTAAAATTTTCTAGGGACCTTTTCCCACTCCCTTTTCATGTAATCCTACTCACAGTTGCAGCTGCTAAAATTAATACATATGCTGATCTCAAATGGCTTAAATGCCAGCCTTCATAGAACCCATATTTTATCTGACACTGAGCAATAACCAGGAATACATGGAGAAAAAATGCTAACCTCTTCCTTAAGGTCAGAGCTGGGGCTAGTCAAGAGCTTGAACCAGAAATAATTAAAGATTTGGCCATGACATTCATAACAAGCTTTTTGTTGGCCTTTAAAGAAAGAGAAACATACTGTTCAGCTGGGCGATTTTGGATTAGTGGGGAAAAGACACCAAGGGTATCATCACTTCATGTCAATGTTCTTTTTTCAATTATTTCCTTCTTTCCGTCCTGAAATCTATTCTGAATCGTAGCCTGTTGAGTATTTAAGGTATGCCCTTCCATGTCACGGGTATTTGAATGAAGTAGTTTAGAAAATAGATTACTGTGAGCTGGGATGCCTTTAATGTCTGGGGACGAGGAACTCAAGTCATCGTCTCCTCAGGTAAGCATTGATATTCCAGTTGCAACAGAATTGCAATCTGACTTAATAGAAATGTAATGTAGATTATTCTGAAGCCATGGGGATCTATAGAGAAGACCTTGTATGGATTTTTACCAAATCTGAAAAATTCCTCTTGTTTGAGGAATGGAGTGGAGTTGAATAGAATGGAATAATTCTGGAAATATATAGTTAATGGTTGCCATTGAAAAGAGGGGAGCAGAGAGCTGAAGCCTAATCTATACCAGTTGAGAAAGGTTCACCAAAACCCATTAAGGTTTGTTTCCAACGTGGTTTTCATTTCCTCTTGCAAGTGCCCTAATTTTTGTGGCACTGACCAAAAAGAAACCAGTTAGTGTGCTACTGGGACTTCAACATCTGGGGACGAGGAACCCTTGTCTCTGTCACTTCAGGTAACATCTAATTATTTATCTATCCTTCATTATATTTTTCTCCCCAGAAACCTTCTTAGAATTTAGAATTAGCAGTCTTAAATATCAGGCATTTCGCATTCTTCTGTTGAGGTTTTTTGGATGTATTTTTTTACATACTGTGGAAACTGTCTATTTCTGTTTAAACAAAAAAAAAAGGTTTCTTTCCCGGTGTTTGAATGGAATCCTTGTGATTTGATGAGCAAGCATTTCAGTCAGGTTCTCCCAAAGCAGGAGCAAAGGATCAAGCCATATTTCTAACCAGTTTTTGTAAGATTATTAGTAGAAAATTGAATGGTGTGTAACTATGCTTTCTGGGGCCCAGGAACCCCAGTGACTGTCACTTCAGGTAAAAAAAATTATTCCTACTCCATTTTTATTTTTTTCCAATGCTAGGTTGGACTAGTTCCAAAAGCTGTAGATATTAATAAGGCTGCTTAATTATTAACTATAGAGAATTATTGGTTTAGTTACAATTTCACTAAAATGGGGAAATAGATGTAGAAAAAGTGTAATGTCTGGTGAATTCCAAAGTGTAGGAATTCCACTGCACTCTCATTTGGCACAAAACCACTGTCTGATATCCAGTTATGTCTAAGTTTACGGATTGAATATCAGTTCAGTCCACTTGGAGAAACTGGCCATCATCTTCTCAGTGGAAGGGAGCTAGTATGCATTTGTTCACCTTCAGTAGACAGATTAATCCATGCAAATATGATGGATTCTATTGTTGGAGCCAAGGAACTCCAGTAACTGTAACTTGAGGTAAAGATTTTCGATTATATATTTCTCATGGATGTAGTGATTTAAAGAGATACTTGCCACCCTAGACCACTCTGTCCAAAATACAAAAGGAGAGGAGGAAAGAGAAATGTTTTTTTAATTAGAGAGAGAGAGAATACAATTGTGGACATGAAGGTTAGGCAGGAAAGAGGCATAGTTAGAACGAGGAATGGAAAGACAATGGGACAGATTTAACATCAGGTGCCTGGAGATTTGGGACAAGATGATTTTGTCAACCGGGAGTGGAATTCATATCTCTGTGACAACTATGCTTTTGACCAATGGGGACCAGGAACTTTGGTTACCGTAAGCACCGGTGAGTAAAATTGGGCTCTTTGTTCTCTATACTGTGTTTGTTTAGGAATTTTCTTGGATTTGTCTCTCATTTTTTCCAAAATGATAGTCAGATGAACCGAAGCCGCTCTCTATCTCAAAATGTCTTTGCATGACCATTCGCATTTTTGCCATTCCTGAGAATCATGCTCTAGGCTAAAATACACGTCTTCTTTATAAATCCATCCATAGGATTTCAGATTATGCTGGGGATTTTTTTTAAAATCTACTTCTACATTTTGATATTAAGGCATCAAGCGTTGGAGTTTCTCTGTGGCAACCAAACATCAAACAAGCAACAGTCTCATCTCAGATCTAAAGACTACGCATTTCCAGAACTAAGTAACGAAGTCTAGAACAGCTTTGCCCCAACATGTATTTTTCTCTTAATG